TATAGATTATAGAATGATTAGGTTTCTTTTTTGTAAGTGTAAAACACTTAAATACACCATTTCAATCTACTGATTTTGTTGTTATCCCAGAAAGGTCTACTGTCTTGCTGTTATCCCAGAAAGCTATACTGTTTTTGTTGTTGTCCCAGAAAGTTCTACTGATTTTGTTGTTATCCCAGAAAGTTCTACTGATTTTTTTGTTGTCCCATAAAGTTCTACTGATTTTGTTGTTATCCCAGAAAGCTCTACTAATTTTGTTGTTGTCCCAGAAAGTTCTACTGATTTTGTTGTTGTCCCAGAAAGTTCTACTAATTTTGTTGTTATCCCAGAAAGCTCTACTGATTTTGTTGTTGTCCCAGAAAGGTCTACTGTCTTGCTGTTATCTCAGAAAGCTATACTGTTTTTGTTGTTGTCCCAGAAAACTCCATTGTTTTTTTGTTGTTATCCCACAAATTTCTACTGATTTTGTTATCTCTAGAAACTTTACTGATTTTATTATCTCTGAAAAGTTACTGATTTTCTGTTTGTTCATGAAAGATCTGGTTATTTTACTGTATTAACTGATTGAAATTGTTAAATGTGTATAATTAAAATAATATTAACTTTTTGTTCTGTGGGTTTCATTTTTCTATTGAATATTCAAATATTTTTGAATTGATGCTAATTTTCTGCTTGCTCAACTTTTGATTTGTAGGATAAATTTCAACCTTCATATGACTGTACAGTCCTGACTGAGGTAAGTCAGTTATTGAATCTTCCTTCATCAGATATCAGTATTTGCATCTAAGTTCTTCATATTTCAACTTTAGGATAGTATATAACAATCAACTTATTTTGTTCTGTTTCCATTTCAAACAGACACTTGACATCATTGTATGAGTACTTTTACTAAATTGTCCAGTTTTCTAATCGATAAAGAAACTACCAATTTCACATAAGACTGTTTAAACCTGCAGTAAGTCTGGAAAACAAAGACCTTATATTATTGTATATACTTAGATTTATTTTAATAAAGAAACTTTTACTTGATTTCAGTTTCTCATCAAAACAATGTATCTTGTAAAATCACATAAGTTCTAAGTATGATGATTTCAATTTGATAACAAAGCTTTATTCTAAAGTCCCAGTAATTTTAATTTATCAATGAAACAATATATATTTTCAAGTAAAGTGAAAGAAAACAGTGAATCTGTTGAATTGCAAGAAAGAGAAATTTTCCGTAGTGATTATCTCTATTATCTGAGAAGGAAGCAAGATTATTATAATGAGTCCAACAATTCTAAAGAAAATTGAGCTAATGTACAAACAGAAATGTTATCTTTATGATATATATACTAAATATTGTGTCTACCTATAACTTATTTGTGAAAACAAAATGGTTTTGTAACGTTATTTCTAAATGTTTTACTTTGTTATGTATATGTACTTAATGGTGATTAAAGTAGAATGCTGTTTTCTAAAGTATCAAGAATATTGTCATTCCAGTGTTTATCAGAAACTTTATATTCAACAAGCCCACCTCTTGTTACTGGTAACACTTCGTCATCCTTCACAAATACAACTTCCACTTCAAGCAATCTCTCACCAAAAAGCTCAAGTCCCGACTTAACAAGTGCCTCTAAGCCTAATGAACAGTAAGTTCACACTAAAGAAAAAAGCATTTCGGATATATTTTTTGGATTTATTGTAAAGATTTGTTAGGTGTTTTTAACAAATACTCTTTCATTGTTTATAAGCTTCTGTTGGGTATGTTTAACAATACTGTTTCATTGTTTATAATCTTGTGTTAGATGTGTTTAACAATAATGTTTCATTATTTGTAAGCTTGTGTTAAATGTGTTTTAACAATACCGTTTCATTGTTTATAATCTTATGCTAGATGTGTTTAACAATACTGTTTCATTGTTTGTAAGCTCATGTTAGGCATGTTTAACAATACTGTTTCATTGTTTGTAAGCTTGTTTTAGATGTGTTTAACAATACTGTTTCATTTTTTGTAAGCTCGTGTTAGGCATGTTTAACAATACTGTTTCATTGTTTGTAAGCTCATGTTAGGCATGTTTAACAATACTGTTTCATTTTTTGTAAGCTCGTGTTAGGCATGTTTAATAATACTGTTTCATTGTTTGTAAGCATGTTTTAGATGTGTTTAACAATACTGTTTCATTTTTTGTAAGCTCATGTTAGGCATGTTTAACAATACTGTTTCATTTTTTGTAAGCTTGTGTTAGGCATGTTTAATAATACTGGCACACAATGAAACAGTATTATTAAACATGTCTAAAACAAACAATGAAACAGTATTATTAAACATGCCTAACACAAGCTTACAGACAATGAAAAAGTATTGTTAAACACATCTAAAACACGCTTACAAACAATGAAACAGTATTATTAAACATGCCTAACACAAGCTTACAAACAGTGAAAAAGTATTGTTAAACACATCTAAAACACGCTTACAAACAATGAAACAGTATTATTAAACATGCCTAACACAAGCTTACAAACAATGAAACAGTATTGTTAAACATGTCTAAAACAAACAATGAAACAGTATTATTAAACATGCCTAACACAAGCTTACAGACAATGAAAAAGTATTGTTAAACACATCTAAAACACGCTTACAAACAATGAAACAAGTTTGTTTTAGACATGTTTAACAATACTCTTTCATTGTTTGTAAGTGTGTTTTAGGCATGTTTAAAAACATAATACTCTTCTGTTGTTTGTATGCTTCTGGCATTTATAAATGAAATTATGTTTTGACTTTAAATCTTGGTTCATGACAATAAGGACAGGTGATTTATACCAATAAATATTTATGTATTAGTTAGGCTCCTGGTAGGTTCTGCTATTTCTCTGGCCTCTATTAATGTAGAATGTTCAAATCTTGTGGTGTTTAAATATGTGGTCATGTTTTAAGTGAATATTTTTAACATCGGAGATTTGCTGCTAAATTTCTGCAGTTGGGTGAGGAGTACATTCTACATTCTCATCATGATGTAATGTTAATAATTATCATCATGATGTAATATTGATAATTGGTTCACAACAGCCTTTCACATACTATTGTTTGGCATTTTTTGGTGATCATGCTCTTAATCCTTTGTGTTAAGATTTTTCAAGCAAAAGTTCCTTTCAGTCAAATTCTTATTTCAGGAATAACTTTATCATTCTCATTCTTTCCTTTGTTCTTTGATCTGTCTATCTCATACATTCATTTTCTGACATTACTTCAGAACTGTCATGCAAACTTTTCCACAATGTTTCCCTCCATTCCTACATTAAACTGTTGGGCTTTCAACTGTGTTTTGGTAATTGGTAAATAACTTGCTAAAGTTCACACATTGCTACAAACTTCAATAACTTGCTAAAGTTCACTCATTGCTATAAACTTCAATAATTTGATAAAGTTCACTCATTGCTATAAACTTCAATAATTTGCTAAAGTTCATACGTTGCTACAAACTTCAATAGTTTGCTAAAGTTCACTCTTGCTATAAACTTCAATAGTTTGCTAAAGTTCACTCCTTGCTACAAACTTCATTAACATGCAAAATTCATTCCTTACCCCAAACTTCATATTTTGACAATCCATGACACTGCTTGTTTTGGAAGATTGTCAATTAATTTGGATTTAGGAAGTCCATTTAAGTGTATACCATTATGTTTACACAACTTTGTGTTTATAAGCTGTAGATAATGATTTTCACCCCAAATATGAAAATTGATTCAAAATGTATGCTAGTATAGTATATGTCAGCAGTGATTGTAAAAAAAAAGGTAGTACATGTATCACCAAATGGATTGTACATTTCCGAACAGAAAACATACATAACTTAGCTAATCTAGCATAAATAGGATTTAAGTAAGTATTTGTATTTTTCCCGACAATAAAAAAGAAAATATTTGACTTCCAAGTGTTTTCACATGTTCAAAAGTCTTAATCTAACTGTATGTAATGTTAGTAAACGAAAAAATAAGAAAGAGTAACTTACTCTAACAACTGGGGGAGTGATAAAGTTCCAAATGCTTCTACTTGATATATATATATATTCACATTCAGTGGTTAACAAAAAATTAAGACTTTAGAAAGACTTAAATATAAAAAAACTATTCTATAAAGATTTAAGACATAAAGTTTGGCTTTAGCAAGTAACAAATGAGATAGAAAATTTAAAACTTTTGTAAATAGTAGTTTCAATTAAAATAAACTACCAAAACTGAATGGAATATATAGAAATTATCTCTTAAAGTGGATTTTGATCAACTATATATTCAGCTTTATTTTATTGTCTACCAGAATCCATTCTTCTCCAAGTCCAGTAAATGATGCTGTTCCCTTGCCTGAGACATCTTCTCGGACCTCAGTATGTTTTCGCATCTTTTTGTTAGTAAGAGTTAAAAACTAATCTTAAAGAGTGGTATATCGTTGTAAGTATATCATTTTTTTATACATTGATGGCATAAATACCAGTGTTTTTTTTAAGTCTGTGAATAACAAATACTTTTTAAATTGATGCAGAAGGAAGTGAAAAACTATATTTATTGTCTGTTTACCAATTATCCAGCATTTTAAAAGTACTCATTAACTAAATGTTGAAGGTTTTATTTTGTATTTCTTGTCTGTTCTCTTGCTTTGAAAACTTGGGCAGTGCATGTTGTGTGGAGTTTATCAATATATATTAGAACAGTGGATAGTTATTATGAAGTTTCAGCTCTGCAAGGTTCACTGGGTTTAGGGACAGTGGTTTGTTACCACTAGGCTTTAACCACACAAGGTTCACTGGGTTTAGGGACAGTAGATAGTTACCACTAGGCTTTAACCACACAAGGTTCACTAGGTTTAGGGACAGTGGTTTGTTACCACTAGGCTTTAACTACACAAAGTTCACTAGGTTTAGGGACAGTAGTTAGTTACCACTAGGTTTTAACCACAGTGGGTTGTTACCATGAGGTTCTGTGTATGATTCTCTATATCTTGAGAGAATGTGTAATTACCACAAAGTTCTAGGTTCACTTATTTTTAGGAGAGTGGGTAGTTACCATGAGGTTCTAGGTGTGTATGTTTCTCTACATTTTGGGAAAATGGGTAATTACCATGAGGTTCTAGGTGTGTATGTTTCTCTACATTTTGGGAAAATGGGTAATTACCATGAGGTTCTAGGTGTGTATGTTTCTCTACATTTTGGGAAAATGGGTAATTACCATGAGGTTCTAGGTGTGTATGTTTCTCTACATTTTGGGAAAATGGGTAATTACCATGAGGTTCTAGGTGTGTATGTGTCTCTACATTTTGGGAAAATGGGTAGTTACCATGAGGTCCCGCAGTACAATGTGCTGAAGGAAAATCTCTTAAACTGATATGGATATTAAATAATTTTAGAGATGTCACAGTGTGTTTCACTAGAATGATTTTGGTGCTGAAGAACACTTAAAGTATTGCTGTTTCACTAGAATGATTTTGGTGGTGAAGAACACTTAAAGTATTACTGTTTCACTAGAATGATTTTGGTGCTGAAGAACACTCTTAGAGTATTACTGTTTCACTAGAATGATTTTGGTGGTGAAGAACACTTAAAGTATTGCTGTTTCACTAGAATGATTTTGGTGGTGAAGAACACTTAAAGTATTGCTGTTTCACTAGAATGATTTTGGTGGTGAAGAACACTCTTAGAGTATTACTGTTTCACTAGAATGATTTTGGTGGTCAAGAACACTCTTAGAGTATTGCTGTTTCACTAGAATGATTTTGGTGGTGAAGAACACTTAAAGTATTGCTGTTTCACTAGAATGATTTTGGTGGTGAAGAACACTCTTAGAGTATTACTGTTTCACTAGAATGATTTTGGTATAATATTAGATGACAGAACTAGGCAACATATTCTATTCTGCTCCAGAATCTGAATGGAAGCTCAGATATAAATGAGCATAAATCATGGTAACATTTAGATTCACAACTACAGGCATGACTTAAGGTATTCAAACTTCTATTTACAGGCGTGATTTATGGAATTCAAATTCCCAGTTACAGGCAGAACTTTTGATGGTACTTAAACTCGATTTATAGGCGTGACTTATGATACACTGCATGGTACTTAAACTTCCAGTTATGGACATGACTTATAATGCACTATATGATACTTAAGTTCCCAGTTACATGCATGACTGAATTCTGTACTAATTGTAGCTTTAAGGAGTTTCTAAGTATATCTAGCTGAAATTTGTATTGATTATAGCTTTAAGACCATTACCTCTCACATTATCTTTGTACTAATTTTAGCTTTAAGGCCTTTTCTAAATAAATTTAGCTAATGGAATGATATTAAAGACAATTTTTAAAACTGTGTAGATATCTAAGTTAATTTGCAAATAAATGGAGTTACATTTTTGTTTGATATGAAACTTGACAGTCACATGCTCTCTCATTGGACACCACTGCCTCGGAAGTTACCCATTGGCTTCAACAGAATAGGTTTGCCAATCACTCTCAAACATTCTCCAGCTTTTCTGGTAAGGAATCATGAAGTTAGCTTTTTTTATTGTTTTACCTTTTTTTGCAGTATATACAGGTTTTCTGTTATATTTCTTGACTTGTATAATATTTGATGTAGTTCTCTTAAAGACGTACTGTATTGTTGTATCTTTACTTAGTGTATAATTTTTGATGTAGTTCTCTTAAAGACGTACTGTATTGTTGTATCTTTACTTAGTGTATAATGTTTGATGTAGTTCTCTTAAAGACGTACTGTATTGTTGTATCTTTACTTAGTGTATAATGTTTGATGTAGTTCTCTTAAAGACGTACTGTATTGAATGCAAATATAGAAACTTTTTATTACTTACATAAATAAATCACAAAAATATATTTTTAACATCAATGTTACTATAGCAACTTAGTGACTTCAATACTAAAGATAAGTACTTATTAACATTAAGAAGCCAATACATTTGAGTATCACTAATAGTTAACAAAAACATTTTGTTTAACATAAAGCAAGAAATTTTTGACAAAATAGTCAATTTTAGTCATTTTGATCTGTCTGTATTAATCTTATTTTTCATAATTCTAGTTATAAAATATTTTAGTAATAAATTTTAAGTATACATAATTTTTCTCTATCCGTGAAAAGAAATCTGTACACTAAAATACTAAGGACTTTGTAACTTGGCAAAACATAGGCCATGGAAGTCTCTCAACATTTATCAAAGTTTCTCCTGTGGTCATCTTAAATACACCATAAGACATTGGATGGACTTGTATTTAACCGCAAACTGCATTTAGAATGTGACTGCTATGTGGTTCATAGGTTTTGAAATTTCCTTGTACAATTTTTAGGTGCAGATTTATTGCGACTGAACAGAAATGATCTTATTCAGATCTGTGGTCTCACAGATGGGATCCGGTTGTACAACACTCTACATTCCAGGTATGACTCATGTTTTTCTTCTGTAAGTTCCAGTTTAAAGAAATCTCTTTAGTGATGTATATTGAGAATGTATGCTAGGTACATTACTTGTAGTTTCATTATCACTGAAATATCAACATCCATACTTTTCTGTTACTAACAGTGTTCATACTGTTCTGTTACTAACAGTGATTCATTCTGTTCTGTTACTAACCGTGTTCATATTGTTCTGTTACTAACAGTGTTGGTACTGTTCTGTTACTAACAGTGTTCATACTGTTCTGTTACTAACAGTGATTCATTCTGTTCTGTTACTAACAGTGTTCATACTGTTCTGTCACTAATAGTGTTCATACTGTTCTGTTATTAACAGTGTTCATTCTGTTCTGTTACTAACCGTGTTCATATTGTTCTGTTACTAATAGTGTTGGTACTGTTCTGTTACTAACAGTGTTGGTACTGTTCTATTACTAACAGTGATTCATTCTGTTCTGTTACTAACAGTGTTCATACTGTTCTGTTACTAACAGTGTTCATTCTGTTCTGTTACTAACAGTGTTCGTACTGTTCTGTTCCCAACAGTGTTGGTACTGTTCTGTTACCAACAGTGTTGGTACTGTTCTGTTACCAACAGTGTTTGTATTGTTCTGTTACCAACAGTGTTTGTACTGTTCTGTTACCAACAGTATTGGTACTGTTCTGTTACCAACAGTGTTTGTACTGTTCTGTTACCAACAGTGTTTGTACTGTTCT